ATAAGTAACCATTTCGATAGCCTCATACATAAAAAAATTCCCTGCATCTCAGAGCACCTGCAGGTAAGCTGATATGACTCCTAAAACTGGCATATGGGAGAAATAGGATAGGGCTCCATTATACCGTAGATCATCAGTAGACTGGGTAAGCTGAGTCACCAGCAAGCAACAGAATTCGCAGAACTCTGGGTCAAAAGTGTCACCGACCCAACAGGCAGCGTGACAGAGGCAGAAACCATGAAGGTCACCCTGAGACAAGGGGACCGAGCAACCCTCGAACTCGCACGAAGTGAGGGGGGACTTTGAGGTCACATCCATCGGACCCATGTGCCCCCATGGGGTTTCCCAGGGTCCTGAGATGGAACTCACGCTCAGGGAATACCAGGCAGGGTACTGATAACCGGCACCCAAAAACTACCAAGCAACTCTCTAAAGCTGAACCTCAGGGACGTGTACACTCACGGGGACCTAGCAGGGGGGCACCACCGGAAGAACACCGTAATAGGTCGGGCACCAAGGGGCAAGCAAGGCAGACCCCCTCCACAAGTCAAAAAGAAAAAGAAAAACCCTTGCAAGAAGACAACGTACCCCTAAGGAACAGAGTCGGCCCCTATGAATGGTGAAAACAAGCTGCGCAGCACCCTGCTCCCCTTACCAGTGCAACTGCCTCTTACCCTAAGGTAAACAAGGGAGACAAAACACCCAAGCACCCAAAGGGCGGCCGAAAAACCGAGCAGATAAATAGCACAGCAGAGGCTGGAGTCAAGGAACTTGTGGAAGGTAGTCCCAAGCTCCAAGGGCAATACTTACAGGGCACCTAGGGAAGGTAACCCTAGGCGCATACAGCCCGAGTACTGTAGAATAACTCCTGGTTCTCGCACCCCTGGAAAACAGCCACCACACTCGAAGCACAGTGCTGAAAAACACCGGAAGCACAGTACTGAAAAACACCGGAGCCAGAGAACACGACCTCTGCCTCTAGCATCAGCCTTAGAACTGATGGTGGATAGCTTGGCAAGGAGGTCTGGGGTTTCCCTTTCCCCCTCCCGGGAAGCGGGGAGCTGCGTAGACAGTGGTGCGGCGACATGTGACGTCATACTCGTTTGCTAGTTTCTTTTTGAAAAGTTCTATCCACATGTTCGGCTTTTGGTAGCAATTTCCATCAGAATAAGGGTTTGTTTTGGGACGCTTACCTTTCTGGGTGCCTGACCCAGTCGATGGCAGACACAGATTGCTTCCAACCACATGGGGGTTTCTATAGGCCATTGCTCGCCATGCCTCTCTGAGGGGGGCCAGGTTCTGGCTCATAGTCCCTGGTAGGCCCATAGAACTCCATACACATGACTGATGCCAAAGTCTAGCATATCAGCCTGGATAAGCTCCGGGGAGCCGAAGGGGCTCCCCCCAGAAAATAAATAAATAAATAAAATATTTCCTTCTAATATTGTTAAAATGAAGGAGTAAAGTTAATGATTAACTCATCACAGGAAAAATAATAATAAAATTGTATGTGAATCTTTGGCCATGGTGAAGTCAAAGTCTTGCAATTATGTAACAATTGATAACAAAGGTGACGGAAACTGTCATAAGATACTTCTGGAAGCCCTGGAAGGGACTGGTATTACCAGAGTCTACATATTCCTAGATAAAATTTAGGTCAGATGGAAAGTTGTCAGAATACCTGACAGCCGATTGCCTAAACCAGTTGCTCTACAGAGAATTATGAAAGGGCACGCATTCTGTTGGGAGGGGGCAGAAGTAACAATTCAAAGATTGCCTCAAGGTGACTTCCAAAGACCTGGACATCAACACCAATTCTTGGGAGTTGCTTGCTCAGGACCGTCCAACTTGGAAAAGCAAAGTCACCACAGGGGCCCCGTGTGGCAGAAAATAGACGGACTGCAGAGGCCAAGAGGGAGTGCGCCGTACGCGAAGCTAGAGCAACCTCCACCTCTGCAATAGCACCCACCCACAAATGTCCCATGAGTAGGCAAGCCTTCTGGACTCAGATTGGTCGCATCATCCATCATTTTTTTTTTTTTTTTTTTTTTTAAGATATATACAAGAGTTGTTACATTCTTGTACAGCCACTAGTATGCGTAGCGTTTCGGGCAGGTCCCTGGAATACGACCCCCCCCTCCCCCCCACGAAGAATCGTTTTTACAACCAAGTACCCATTTTACTGTTGAGGTAAACAGAGGCTACAGTTAAGGATTTGCGCCCAGTAAATCCTCCCTGGCCAGGATACGAACCCATGACAAAGCGCTCACGGAACGCCAGGCGAGTGTCTTACCACCACACCACGGAGACATCTGTGGTGTATCTGACACACAGCCACCAATCTTCAACCTGATATATTGACGTCATGGTAATTTTCACATCAGAAGGACGATCATCATCATCATCATCATCATCATATTGTTATACATGCCAAATGGTGTTAGATCAATGATTGTAACATGAATCTTTTCTATATTACTCATGTTCTTTTTCACTTGGGAAGAAGTTGGAAAAATTAAGGCTCTCAGGTTCATTTTACAATTTGTATGGCATGACACTAAAAAAAAAAAAAAAAGATATGCATTTTGTTGAGTTCTCAACATGCTGTGAGGCAGAGGAGAAATAGAAACAAGTTAGCTGAAGTTACAGAATATATAACCAAGAAGGATGACAAGAAGTAGGTGTTACCCCAGTCAATATTGGGGGGGTAGTAGATGAGGTGTGGGTGGGATAATCTACCTTTGCCTTCAGGATGGTAGCATGCACATAAGTTTAGGCAGACTTTTGATACATGGATGTTTGAAATTTAATGATTTGTCCATATCAAATCTTCTACAGCACCTGTATTGCCATTGTACCTGTCAATTATTTTTATGTTGTTGGTCACTATACTTCTGGAAATGGTCTGGTTGTTTGTAGAAATTGTATGTTCTTTGACAGAGCCTTGTTATTTGTGCACTGTCAGGTACTGTGAAAGTGATGGTCGTCATGCCTATGTACTGAGATCATTGGGAGTGACGGTCCCCAAGTGGGCACGTCAAGGCATAGCTGATATTCGTCTCTTTTAATTAGTTTCACTTGGTGTCAGGAGAGTTCTTCATGAGTAGGATGGCAGTGTTCTTGCTGCAGGTACAACATCAAGTGTGTCTACTGTAAATGCTTATTTAACACTATCGGTCACTTTAGACCGGACCCTCATCCATTTTTTTCTCCCGAGTCCTAACTTTGGACCGGACTTGCATCCACTACAAAAATATTTGCATAAAATTCATTTTTTATCCAATCGACCTCAGGATAGTATCAAAATAAGAACCTTTAGAATGCGCACAATTTGATACCAAAATGAAAGATGTAACATGAAACTTGATGTCCGAACACTTATATGATTATAAATAGGTTTTTGGTCAAAATTTTAAAATATTTGTTAAAATTCTATTTATTGTGCTATTATGTTGGGACTAGTTTTAAAATGTGCGCCTTTACGTCGCAAACAATTTGATACCAAAATGAAAGATGTAACACAAAAATTTATGTCAGAACACTGGAAAGATATAAATAATTTTGTAATGATGAGCTTCCAGAATTAAAATATTTGTTAAAATTCCAGTTATTGCTCTATTATTATGGGACTAGTTTTAAAATACGCACCTTTTTATTGCGAACAATTTGATACCAAAATGAAAGATGTAACACGAAAATTGATGTAATCAAACTGAACGAGTATACACATTAGGTTGCAGTATACAAATTGGTGCTCGTTCACGGGTAACTTTAGGCTTTTCTGCGGGGAGGCACTCCAGGCTTTTGTACATTATATTCATACACATCTGTAGGGAATTTAATTGTGAACACAATGATACCAAAACGAGCGACGTAGCACGAGAATTAAGGTGAAAAAAATGAAACGAGTATACACATTTTACTGATTTTGTGCGCTCACGGGTAACTTTTGCTGACTTTAGGCTTTGCTGTTGGGAGTCATGCCATGCTTTTGGACATTATATTTATACACACCTGTAGGGAATTTAATTGCGAACACAATGATACCAAAACGAACGATGTAGCACCAGAATTAAGGTGAGAAAACTGAAACGAGTATACACATTTAGGCATCGCCGCACGCTCGCCCGCACCATTGAGGTCATGACGTCAGAGTCTGTGGCGCGCTCGTGGGGTGCGCGATAGTGTTAAAATACAACCCATTTCTTTGTCCTTATTGATTACTTGACCTGTCTCATTGCCCAATGACCTAGTCTTCTCCCTAATCTTTGTTTAATATATCTGAAGGATCCCTTTAGTAATAAACTTTGCCTGCCCTGCTATACACATATCATAATTTCTTTTTGCTTTGTTATTACCTTTTAATAATTTTTGTTAGTTTCACAAATTATTGTTCTAATACACATTGTATTTTATTATCCAATGACAGTTACATGTGTAAAAGGTTTCACACTGTGTATACTGCCTCTGCATTTTGCTCGAACTCAATGAATTTAATACCATGTGACAATAGTAATTGTAAAAGGCAGGAGAACTTTGCTTTAAACCTACTGACCTGGACTCTCTGTAGATGCAGTGATTTTATGCATACTGTATTACAAGCCTACTGTGCATTCTTTCAAAGATTCTGATGTTAGTGTCGTAAGTCTGTAGTTAGTTGCAATGGCTTTACTGCTACATATGTGAGGAGAGTCCTACAACAGGTTGTCACTGTTAATTCTTAATGAACGTAGAATTTAAGCATTCTGGACTGGAGGAAGACTGCATGAGCACGATGTCAGTGGTTCTTCAGTCTCTCGTACACACACACAAACTTATTCTCCTTTCTCCCTCTTTTTCATATTCATTTTTCATATTCAGTAAACTATTATACATCTTTCCTTAACATTACCATATGCATATATTTTTAGTTATCTACTAAAAATCTAATTTATTCCAATGCTTTGATGGTGTAACTTAAAAGCATATACTGATGACTTCACATGCATGAACTAACTAACCAGTTTATGGAAGTATGGCGTATTGATTCTGAGTGACTCTCCATTATATCGTAAACAAGTGGTGTCCTTGTCTTGCATAAAGTCGATTGGAGGCGGGCGAGGGCTCGGAGTAGTGAACTGCACCGGATAACACCACACTTTCCGTAGCCCGCTAACTGCAGGAACCCCAGCTTCTGCCAATTACAACATCAGAATTATTACTCACTTGCATCTGCTTTATCATCTGTCAAGTACAACAAAAGGAAACCAACTAGGCAGTGACCTAAAAGCTGTAAAACAGAGAATCTGTCAAACCATATTTTATACATGTTATTGAAGCAGTGTTTTCCAAGCTACTACACGTAAGGAGATACATTATAGTGCAGCCCTGAGTCAAACAACTATAAGGGACCCACCCCAACTGTTGCATTTAGAGATTTATATCATCCAGCGGTGTCTTCGGGAGGCATTTGTTATTTTAACAAGAAAACAGTTATGTAATACTACTACACAGTACAATAATGAATTTCTATATACATTAAAAAACCAGCGTTGAATGTAATGAAACGCCATTTTCTGGGTAACTCCATGTTCCGTGGAGTTATTGGAATGATATACGCTAAATTAGTCTGGGACATCAGTCAATGGACTTCTGTCTACTGGGGACCACTAGCCAGAACATGGGCCCCCCCTCAAAGGGGCATAGGGAGCAATTGCCCTAGGAACCCCCCCCCCTTGTATTTGGGGGTATTCCATTTGTCATCGACTGAGATAAGGCACCCAGAAAGGTAGGCATCTCAAAACAAACCCCACATGATACGAAACTGCAAAAAACCCAAGACCAAACAGAGAAACAGAACTCCCCAAATGAAAACAAAGCAAACAAGCAAACTTCATTCACCGCTTTGCCGCTTGTCCGCGCAGCCCTTTCCTCCCCAGAAAGTGGAGGGGGGGGGAGGGAGCCCCACACCTCAATTCGGAGGCTGAGTATCAGAAACGAAATGGTCGACATGAGGGCGGGAGGGTGCCTGGGAGCATCCCGGGCTCTCCCACAAAATGGACTTGCATTATATTCAGCGCTGGTTTTCTGTGGGAAGCCCCTTCGGCTCCCTGGAGCTACATACCCAAAGAAAAGTAAAAGAGGGACTTAACCGGAAGGTGGCCGCACTGCGTGCCTCAACTTAAAGACGAGACAACTGGCTGCAACTTGCGGCCCAAGGCAACACATCAATGACTGGGACCAGGAATGTTCACCAATTAACAGGTGGCCAGGATCCTGTTCGGGCTCCAAAACCATGCCCGAATGTCAGGCCAAAATATGTTACCAAACGCAGCGGCCAGAGCAGAAAATGTATGAACAACACAGGCATATGGGTAGACTGCAGTCTGGCTAGACTTAACCCTTAAAGTGCTCAGCATAAGGGGGCAGGGAAGTGAAAAGCATTTGAATTATGTTAAAATTACTTAAAAACAAACAAATTTGTTAAATCTGATTTGTTAAACAAACCTCCAACTTATTGGCTTTAGCATTATGAAACTTTCATCAAAATATTTACAAAAATTGATTTTAGATGAATATTTAAAAAAACAGCATTGAATGTAATGAAACACCATATTCTGGGTGTGGCCCGGAGGCTCTCTGACGCTATACAGGCTGACATGCTAATATCTTCCTTCTTCCGGTTGTTCCCCCTGCTAGGTCCCCATGAGTGTACACGTCCCGGGGGTTCAGTTCTTGAAAGTTGTTTGGTAGACAGGGGCGCCGGTTAGCAGTACCCTGCCTGGGATTACCTGAGAGCGAGTCCTTCTATAGTAAACGCTCAGGACCCTGGGAAACCCCTAAGGGGAGCGTGGGCCCAAAGGATATGGCCCCGGAGTCCCCCCCTCGATTTGTGCAAGTTTGAAGGTTGCTCTGTCCCCTTGTCTCAGGGTGACTCTCACTGTTTTGCCTCCGTCTGCTGCCTGTGGGGTCGGTGACACCTTCGACCTGGAGTCCTGCGAGATTTGTTGCTTGTTTGTGACTCGGTTACCCAGTCTTATGCAGACTATGTGGGTGCAGGCAGCACGGGCGTTGCACGTTGGGTTTCGGTGGCAACTCCCAAACCCCACCGAAACCCTAACTTTCGGTGGGGTTTTCCTCACTCCATTCTCTATACGAGTTGTTGGCATTGGCCCCTCCCCGGGCTCCGTTCCTTGTCCCTTACACCCGTTGGTTCCGTCCTGTCGGTGGGTGCTCTTCTCCGTTATTCACCCCTTTTTCGCGGGATGGGACGTCTCCGTCATGTTCCCCTAATCTTGGGGTTCTGCATGACTTTTGGTCTCGGGTGTGACTGGGCCTTTCTATGTCTTCATCATTTATGCTTGCTTCTGTGTTCTCGAAGGTTCAGGATGGTTTTTGCTCCTTCCCGTATTTTTGGAACATCTGTTGTTTTTCAGTGAGGCTTCCCTCCGGTCCTTTCTAGGGCTTGTTGGTCCTCTTCCGTGCTTCCTCTTGGTTTTCGGCCCTGTCTCGTTCTTTTGTTCATGTACAGTATCTTAACTCCGTGCTGTGTCTCGGAACTGCTCGTTTTCCTTCCATACTCCTTGTACGTGATGCCAGGTTGGGCTGCTTGTGGTCCGGTTGGGCTACTTGTAGCCCAACTGGGCTACTAGTAGCCCGGTTGGCTTCCAATTTGGTTCATTGTTTTCATTAAATGAGCCGGCTATGTGTGTCGTTGCTTATTCCTTTTTGGCTTCTGTTCCCGTGTGCTGGGTTGTTTCCTCTCTTAAGCGAATCACTCTGGATACAAACTGTTGGGCTACTTTTCTTTAGTGTCCTGCGCATGCGCCGTTAGAGTTTGTTTTGGTTCGGGTGATGTGAACAAGTGCTGGTGTTCTCCGTCCGTTTTCTCTCGAGTGCTTTGCCTCTCGTTCTTCTCATTCTCCAGTCCGTGCCCTGTTGCTCCTGGGGGTGTTCTGGAGTGCCGCTAAGGGAAGGACGCCGGGTTTTCCATGCATTTTAGGTAGCGGGCGCCTCCTTTGCCTCTCCCCTCCTCTTCTCCTGCAAGAGCGGATCTGGCCTGCTTCCGCTGGTGGTGCTCCCGTTTTTCTGGGCTGCGGGTGCACGATTCCCTCACTGCCACCGGCAGCACCAACCTAGTAACATTGGCATGACCCTTTTGTGCCTATGTTCTGTAGGCGAGTTTATGCAGTCTGGCATCTTCTTCGTCCAGGCGCTGGTTCGTTTTGGGGGTACGGATGGGAATACATGAGAACATAGAACATACAAACAGGGGTGCCTGCAGTGGGCCTATTGGCCCTTACGTGACGGCTCTTGTTCCTTTCCATCCGATTCAAACATCAAAACACAGCTGACTGCAGGAGGCCTCTTGGCTCATACGAGGTGGCGGCTCCTGACTATGCCCATCCAGTCCCTCTCCTATGCATGTCCACCCATGCTTGAGTTTCGGACCCAACTTCCACCGTGTTTCAAGGTGCAAAGGTAGAGGTGCCTGATGTGTGGTACCTGTTCCTGTGTCGAGGGTTATCTTGAGGTTATCTTGAGATGATTTCGGGGCTTTAGTGTCCCCGTGGCCCGGTCCTCGACCAGGCCTCCACCCACCAGGAAGCTGCCCGTGACAGCTGACTAACACCCAGGTACCTATTTTACTGCTAGGTAACAGGGGCATAGGGTGAAAGAAACTCTGCCCATTGTTTCTCGCCGGTGCCCGGGATCGAACCCAGGACCACAGGATCATAAATCCAGTGTGCTGTCCGCACGGCCGACCGGCTCCCTGAGAGCCAATCGGCCAGCTCGACCTCTCTTCAGAGAGGTCTTCAACGACCTCTCTTCAGAGAGGCAAGTGGAGCAATAGCCTACAGAAACTCCCGTGTGGTTGGGTGTTATGTGGTGACGTTTTGCTGTGGTTTTGATACTACGGTTGCGTGTTGGGGTATAGTTGTGGCGTTTTGTTCGGCCCTGCTGTGCTTCTTCCTGGGGCCTTCCTTTTTGGGGTTCTTTATTTCCATAATTTTCTGGGTCCCTCATTCTAGCCGGTCTTGCTGTACCAGGCTTAGCTTTTCCATGTATATTGGATTCTCCGTACTCCCCTAGTAGTCCTCAACTAGTTGTGCTTGCTGGGGATGAGATTTGGCTCTTCGTCCTGCCTCTCGCCTGTCATTTGACTTCTGTACAGGTTCTTGAGCCTTCTAGGCTCTCTTATCTGCACTTGACGCTGGGTGTGGGTTTGGCCTCCGCCACATCCCTTCCTTATGTCCCTTCCTCTTCCGCGAACACAATGTCAGACTTTGGCATCAGTCATGTCTATGAAGTTCAATGGGCCTACTGGGGCCCACGAGTCAGAACCTGGCTCTCTTCAGAGAGGCATGAGGAGCAATAACCTATAGAAACTCCCGTGTGGTTGGAAGCATTCTATGTCTGCCATCGACTGGGTCAAACACCCAGAGAGGTAAGCGTCCCAAAACAAACCCCTATTGTGGTGTAAATTGCTACCACAAGTCGAACAAGTGGATAGAACTCACCTAAAAGAAACAAGCAAACAATCATGACGTCACACGTCGCCATGCTGCTGTCTACGCAGTTCCCCCCTCCCCTGGAGGGGGGAACTGCGTAGGGGGGACCTATCGCACCAGCTATCCACCATCAGTTCTGAGGCTGGATGTCAAAAAACGCGAAAAACCACCGACTGGAGGGAGGGAGGGATGCCGGGGAGCCTCCAGGTCTCACCAAGAAAATGGCATTTCATTACATTCAACGCTGGATTTCTGGGGGGAGCCCCTTCAGCTCCCCGGAGCTAACTACCCACAGAGGAAATAAGATGGACGTACCCGGTAGGTGGTCGCCGGACACTCCCCAACTCAAAGTCGAGACAACTGGCTTCCACCGCCAATCCAAGGCGATCCAGGCCCGAATAGGCCCGGGAAGGATCACGAGATATCGAGCAGCTAGGCCCCTGTATGACCGCCAAAAGCCCCGTGCCCAAATGTCAGCCAGGACATGCCGCCAAGCCGGCAGCAAGAGCAGCAAATCCACGAACGTCATGGGCACGGGAATAGAATGCAAGCTGGCTAGCCTCAATAACATGGCGGACAACCTGGGAGACCCTCACCCGCGAACAGGGAAGAAGGGAACCGAATCAACCCAAAGCGCGTCCCGGACACAGAAGCCGTGGCGCACAAACAACAGCAGAGGGCC